ATTGTTAGTAATAAATTAAATATTTTAAATTATAAATAATAATAATTATTAATTTTTTATATCAATTATCAATTTTTTAATATCAATTATCAACTATTAACTACATTTTAATCCAAACACTACATTTGAAGTTTCAACATAAGAAATCTTTTGGTTTAAGGATCCTAGTTTTTATTGGAAATTAAATCCTATTATTTAGCCATTATCTCTATAATTTAGGAAGTTTAAGTTATTTATTTGTTTTAGGTTGTTATAATTTAAATTAGATTAGATAAGATTGGTTAGTTATCTTTTTAGATAATTTTATCTTGTAAAGCCTATTTAAAGGCTAGTTTATTTTCAGTTTAATGTGATTTGGATTTTCATTCCATCTTCTTCTTCTCAAGAATTCTTGATTTTTAACATTTGGTATCATAGCCTATTCCCAACAGATTCCATGGTTTTCGAAAATTATGTCTAGCCCTCAATCCCTCATTTTGATGGTCATCACTACGATCATTGGAGTATGTTGATGGAGAATTTTCTCTAGTCCAAAGAGTATTGGATAGTTGTTGAAGCTAGAGTTCCAGAACTAGCGGCAGGTGCAAATGCTGCACAAAGGGCAGAAATTGAGAAGGAAAAGTTGAAGGATCTCAAGGCTAAGAATTATTTATTCCAAAACATAGATCGAGCTATCTTGGAAACAATGCTTAATAAGTCTACTTCCAAGACTATTTGGGATTCCATGAAGAAGAAGTACTAAGGGAATGAAAGGGAATGAAAAAGCAAAGCGGCAGCAGCACCAGGCTTTACGAACAGAATTCGAAAGTCTGTAGATGCAGATTTGTGAATCTATAGATGACTATTTATCAAGGATGATGGCAATTGCAAACAAGATGAGGATCCATGGTGAAAATCTAGAGGATGTTGCCATAGTTGAGAAAATCTTTCGGTCTACGACAACAAAATTCAATTATGTTGTCTGTTCAATTGAATAGTCGAATGATATTAAGGCACTTTCCCTTGATGAGTTGTAGAACTCATTGTTAATTTGTGAGCGGAAGATAAATCACCAAGACAAACAAGAGCAAGCGGTGCAGATTTCGCAGACGCAAGCCTTGCAGACCATAGTTAATTCAAGGGCTATAAGTCGAGGAAAAGAAAATTGGAAAGGCAAACCGAGATCTGACAAATTGGAGGAAAGTTCAACCACTAGAAACCAAAAGAGGTGGCAAAACATAAATTATCAAAGTGCAAATAATAGATCTAAATCTATAGGCAAGGCAAATGTTGAATGCTTCAGATTTCATAAGTATGGCCATTATCGTTCTGAGTGCCGTGCTAATCTGAATAGAGGAGAAAGTTCCAATTTTGCAGAACACAGTGAGAAGAATGATGAGTCCTCTCTATTCATGGTCTATCATCCTAAAGAAGTTAGCAAGAAGAATGTGTGGTATTTGGATACTAGTTGTAGCAACCACATGTGTGGAGACAAATATGCGTTTTCATAATTGGATGAGTCTTGTCAACGTCAAGACAAGGTGAAATTTGGTGATAATTCCACTATTGCAGTCAAGGGAAGGGGAAAGGTAACCATTTGTGCCAAAAATAATTCAATTCAAACTATTGCTAATGTTTTGTATGTACCAGATTTGAAGTCGAATCTACTTAGTCTAGGACAACTTTAGGAGAAAGGATATGAAATCCTGATTAAAGATAGAGTTTGCCAAGTTCGTGATTCAAAGTTTGGCTTGATTGCAAAGGTCAAGATGATAGGAAATAGGTTGTTTCCGTTATACTTGCAGACCGTAAATCTATTATGTTTATCTGCCAGATTGAAAGACACAGCTTGGTTATGGCATTGTCAATATGGACATCTTTATTTTGGTGGGTTGAAAACTTTGTAGTAGAAGAAGATGGTAAATGGTTTTCCTCATTTTGATTTTCCTTTAGAAATTTATGAAATCTATGTGGTCAATAAACAGCACTATGACAGCTTTCCTAAGACAGATCTTGAAAAGCAAAGCGAGTGCTAGATCTTGTTCATTCTGATCTATGTGGACCCATAAATCCAACATGCAATAAAGGTAAACAATACTTTATTACCTTTGTTGATGATTACAGTCGCAAAACGTGGGTGTATTTTTTGCTGACCAAGTTAAAAGCCTTAGCAGCCTTTAAAAATTTCAAAGCCTTGGCTGAGAAAGAGGCTAGTAGATCTGTAAATGTTCTAAGCACAAATCATGGTGGTGAATTTAACTCAAAGGAATTTGCAGATTTGTGTGAGTCCAATGGTATTAAAAGACAACTCACAGTAACATATACACCTAAGCA